TATATAATTCCTTATGGTAAGTAACTCTGCATGACTTTACAAACTGTTCAATGACAACGAAGAGCACTGATTTAGGAATTTGATGTGCTTGTAACAAATTCTTCCAAATGCTGTTGTGTTTGTTAAATATTTACAGTTTGTTTTCCTAAGTGTTTTAGTTTGAACATTTACTTGCTTGGATAGTACAGTATATCATGGAATTAGGTGAAATTTAAAGTTCCATTAGCGTGAGCGTGAAGCAGATGTTTCAGCTGACTTGAATCAGAATTTAATGAACACCACAGGGACCGTGGCATGGTAACTGCTGGGATAGATAGGAAAAGGTAGATTACCTACTGTTGATCATCAGTATCTAACAGTTCAAATAAATAAGTAAATGTGTTTTTAAAATCCATGCTTATTCACATTGAAAATATGATCATTTGCTTTAAAATAAATGGACATAGTTAAAACAAAATTATGGTATTAATATTATTTACCTTTACTGTTGGTCCTGAACATCCTTGTAATCTTTTTGACGCATACAGTTAAATTTGTTGATGCACTTCAGTAGAAACCAACAACTGTTGCCTGGTCTGCTTTGGACCCCTCTTTCTGCTAAACTCAATATTTATTTGTTGAAAATATGCAAATTTATATATTTTTTATTCATTTACTGTTTTCACTAGAAAAAAAATTATCTAAGAAGTGTAGTGACAGTTTTCTTTCTCTTACCTTCTCTGTGCATGTTCAACTTAATTTTAATTTAGCATTTTTTTTGTTTTTATTCAGGATATAAGGTCACAGTTTAGTCTAAATAACAATAAATATTCCTTCATGTTTGCATTCTCTTCCCTATACGCCACAATTTACACGACCAACAAAGCTTCAGATTCATTTGTAAGTAGTTTATGATGAATGTAAATTCAACATCATACAGAATTATTGGACAACTTTGTAACATCGTTCGGGTTATTTTAACCAGAAGATGAAGTTAAAACAGAAAACGAAGTGAACTCACCTGAGCGGAGGAGAGATGATCGTCTGCCCTCATGTCTGTATCATGCTGCAATGTTTCATCTTCCTTGGTTTTACAGATGAGAGGGGTGGGCGAGGTGGGAAGTGGGCTGTAATGAACGCATGCAACAATAACCACCGTATTAAAATACAGTCTGCTGCCAACTCCCCTGTCAAATTTATTCAAATGTTTGCAGAGATGGCAGCCAGGAGACATACATGTTTACATATTCGGGGGACACAGCCGGTGTTTTCGTGCAGGTTGAATGAGAACAAATAAGTACCTGAAATGTGTGGAGGTCAAAACAAAGACATTTTGTGACTCCAAACTTATACAGGAAGACAATTATATTATTGAGAACCATTTTGTCCTAAAATATGGATACTATACAATAAAACATTATAGATTGTTTACTTAAAACATCTAATGTGTTTGACTACATTAATATATTCTCTGGGTTTTAGCCACAATGTGTGCAATGTGTTTCTTGAAGTAAACAGTTTTTCAGACTTGAGTGAAATCCATGATATGCAACATTATTAAGGAAGTTTAGAAAAATAAACATATGACAGGGTGCAGAAGGAGGAGCTGTTGTGTCGTATAAGAAAATCTGGAGTGACAGAGACTTTGTTAGACCGGTACAGGACATGTATGAGAACAGCAGGACTGGTGAGACAGAAAGTTTCAAAGAGGAGGTGAGACTGATCCAGGATCGGCTCTGAGTCCCATCTCCTTTGCTCTGGTGATGGACAGACTAACAGATGGAGTCAGGCAGACTATTTTCAAGTCCACCCCATTTGAGTTTAAATTTTTTTTCTCATCAATATATTCATTAAATAACTATGTTTTGTTTCTCTGTTTTATTTATTGTTTTTGCATCAGTATTCACTATCAGCCATTAAACACTGACGAAAAACAACAAAATTTGTTTTTAACTTTGCCACTTGTTTCTCTCTCTATCTCTAAAAAAATCACCATATTTTACAGCATTCTTTGCAAATATTTGGTAGAAATAGTTGTCAGCTGTGAAAGGTCAACTAAGTTTTATGTAATTGTATCTTTGTCCTTCAGGTATCTTACATCAGAAATTTAAATATTGAAAAAAATGGACATACTACAATACTCCAAATAATAAAAGTGTACCATCAGATTGGCAAATGGGTTTACAATTTAGAGGTTAAAAACGTTTAAAGTTTTTTTTTATCTTTTTATAAGAAGTGGCATTGTGTTGGAATGGTCATATTTCAACTCAAATTTTGGAAGTTATGCTCATGTGTAATCTAAAATATGCAGTTTAGGTAATTTTTATGCAATTAATTTTATCTAAAGTTTGTAGAGAATTTTTTTAAAGTGGATTTCTATTCAGGTAAATGAATAAAAAAATTCAACTAATAATGAAACCTTTTTATCTTAAGATGCTTTGCAACCATACAAGTGTTTTGGTGTCATATGTTAATGGTTTTACCCAGGAGCATCAACAGTTCTGAAACACGTTTATTTTTTTTTTTTTCATTTAAGTGTAACTTTTCATAGACACCAAAAGCTGGCTCTTGTCATCCCTTTCATGAGTGTCAGTGTGCAATAGACCTAAGATAATCCTGCCAAGCTTTTGGACCTCAGCCAGTGACAGACGTATTTCAAGTGTGGCGGATGTGTTCTAATTAAGCATAGGGGAATTTTTAATGAAGTGTGGAATGAAAGGCACAATAGCTAATGTTTTTTTCAGACCAGTCATTCACATGAGTACTGTGAGGGTGCTTTGTAGGAAGAGTAGCCTGTTGCACATCTGTTTCCAAACCAAAAAGGAGATGTTGATTCCAGCGCTTTGTATAAAAGAGAGCAAACAAAATGGCTTATGATGTCAATGAAATGTCTTATGATTACACATTTCATTATYAGTAGTGTGATTTATACTGGTACAGTGAAAATAAAATGCTATTCAGTTTTTAGTGCACAGTTTGTAAAAAAACAGTAGCCTAACTTACTTTCAAAGAATTGCATGTTTTTATCATGCATATTAATGTCAAAACAATGCAAACTAAAGTTACTCTCACACTGAACCCATAATCAAAACTAATAAAAGAAATTGTCCATTGGATTGCTTAATGACCAAGGAATTATTGTGGTCTTACTTTGCAGATTTTGCTGTAGAGCAGGGCTATTCATTCTGTCTGGCCATCCAATGAGCCCCTGCAATCAATCAATCAATCAATCAATCAATCAATCAATCAATCAATCAATCAATCAATCAATCAATCAATCAATCAATCAATCAATCAATCAATCAATC